CAAAAATGAGCTGGGTGTGTGGGTGGGCGCCTGTAATCCCAGCTACTTGGGAGGCTGAGGCAAGACAATTGCTTGAGCCTGGGTAGGGGAGGTTGCAGTGAGCAGTGACAGAGAGAGACTGTTTAAAAAGAAAAAGAATCTCCCTTTAGCTCTGTCGTTTCCTCTTAGTAATTAACCATGAGCTGACTACACAGTCTGTTTACTGGCTAGAAATTCCCTGTCTGCGCTGTATTCGGAATTGAGCCTCGTTTCGAGGTCGCTCTCTCCCTATTCCAATAAGTCCTAATTGAAATCTGCTTTTACCACTTTAGATAGTATCCAGTGCTGGTTTCTTGAAATATACCTTAGACACTGTCATTTTTAAAAATAAAAGTAACTTTTAGAATATGTGGCAGTCATTATCACTTAAAGAAAACTTTAAGGGTTTCATTTTCATTCACCATTGTTCAATTTTAAAGAAATCATTTAATTTGGGTGCCACTTATTGACTTTTATTTTTTGAGACAAAAGTCTCACTCTGTTGCCCAGGCTGGAGTGCAAGCGTGATCTTGGTTCACTGCAACCTCCGCCTCCCAGGTTCAAGAGATGCTCCTGCCTCAGCCTCCTGAGTACATGGGACTACAGGTGCCCGCCACCACACCCAGCTAATTTTTCTGTTTTCAGCAGAGACGAGGTTTCACCATGTTGTCCAGGATGGTCTCGATCTCTTGACCTTGTCATCTGCCCGCCTGAGCCTCCCAAAGTGCTGGGATTACAAGCGTGAGCCACTGCACCTGGTCACCACTTATTCTTTGAGACAGAGATTTCCTTCTGTTGTCCAGGCTGGAGTGTAATGGCGTGATCTCCAACCACCTACTGTAACACCAGGACGAGGTGGGAGGCAAGTAGAGACTACTCCTGTAAATCAAAGCCAACCACAATTATTCAGACTAGCCAGTACTCAGATGTCGGCTCTGATCTGCCTTGCCTTTCCCATGGAAAACACAATAAAGGATCTGGTCTAGGCTTTCCCCTAGCTCTTGCCTCTTCCTTCACACTAAAACCTGTTCCTCCTGGGGCCCTGCATGGCACACTGTGCTTCAGATTTCTAGGGAAATTCTCAGAAACGCTGAACTTTTATTTCAGTGGCATTGAGCTCTCCATGTCCTTTTCCAATAAAGATCCATCCACAAATTGGCCTTTCTTGGCTGTGTAATATTACATATCACTCCAGCACGTCTCAATGCCTTCACCTTCTCTTTTCTCCATTATGCCTGCCACAATCTAAGACTCCATATAATTCAGAATTTTTTTTTTTCATATTTCCTCCTCTTTCTTCAGTACAATGTAAGCTACTGGGGTCTGTCTCTTGTTTTGCAAATGTCTCCTGCAGTAAAGACAGTGCCTGAAATACAGCAGGTATTTACTGAACATTTGTTACAACTATGAATAAGCATGAATACTACAGCATCCCTGTTCACCTCCACATTCTGATAGTGCTTTCTAAATGTTTTCTTTAGTTGCCCCTCCAGGTATTACTCAGAGTCACCAGAAACTCTAGCTGGTCACAAAAGGTACTTCTTGGGCCCATCGCACCTCTTTACTCCCAGGGTTAGTGAATGTACAGCAAAGACACTAAAGTAGCAAAGACATTAGGTATAGAGCCCAGGGAGGTACAGGAATCTAGGAAAACTACATTCATTGCTGCTCCAGGGACCTTGTCCGTAACAGTAACACAGTACTGGAGATCCTGAGATTTCTGGATACACTGATCCCATTCAGCCATAGTGCCTGGGCTGTCTGTGGTGTCTTTATAATGGACACTTGTCCTCTAGTTTGCCTCGATCTTCTCAAGCCCAATCATTCACACCTAATATTTATCAATTTTGTTTCCATACTGGATGCTTTAGATCTTACCAAGTGGCCTGTGTACCAGATTCCGGTTTTCAGAAAACATGGCCACTCAGCAGGTCCTGAGGAATAGGTTTACCTCAACAGTGTTGGGGAACATGGGACATATGCTAGAAACAAGATGCCCAATCCATGCAGTTTCAAAACACTACAGGCTGTCACAGCAGCAGCACCCTCCTCAACGTGACAGATGGGCTCTCAAATAACTCTAAAATCCGGACAAATCAGGCCTACAAAGATCTGAATTGTAACTTAACAAGCTTTGTCAGCTTTGCAAGTTAACTTAGTCCAGTCGAAAACTGGACTAAGAACTGTTCTCCGTCAACCCACTGTCCCATTTGAGGCACAAAGTTTGGAGGCCCCCACAAAGGCGGTCTTCAGTTTTGGCAGGGCCTGTTCTCAATCCAATCCAGTGAAAAGAACGTCCAAGATTAAAGGTGGCTTAAACTGTAAGGCCTTTATTATCACAAGCAGAGCAACATGAGGCAAGTACTTTCCCAGGCCAGGTGACTTGGAGGCTGGAAATATTCATTACAAGTATGTGAGACCAAGACTATCCATGAAGAAAGCAAACCTTTTGTATAAGGCACCAACAGATACAGCTCGGACCTTCCTGGCTAAAGATGGGTCATGTCCATATCTATACCTGTCACACAGAAGGGAATGAGGACCCCCAATGAACTCAGGCATTTCATGATTTTCTCCAGGGACCGGAAAATATAAAACCCTGTCTTCCCTGATGCTGGGGTATGTGAGCTGGTAGAGTTAAGATGGTTTTGGCCACAGGCACTGACAGTGACGTAACTCCAGCAAAAAACCTGACCAGGTCAGAAAGTGCAACATATCCCTAGAAGTTTCCTACATACCTGGCACCATAAGCTATCTCCCCTTGAGTCAATGTTCAGATATATGAAGTTCAACATCTGACTGATGAGTTCTGTTGTATTCAAAGCAGTCCTAGAGCCTGCCTGCAGTGTGAACTTTCTGGTGCCGACTGAGGTGAAGGCTTAGGTGGTAGGCCTTCCCACATTCACTGCCTTTCTCCAGTGTGAAGTCTTTGTGCCGAACAAGGTGGGAGTTTCTCATAAAGTCTTTCCCACATTTAGTGCATACAAAAGGCCTTTCACCAGTGTGAACCCTCTGGTGTGCAATAAAATCGAACCTTCGCCTAAAGAATTTCCCACATTCAATGCACTCAAAAGGCTTTGACTCAGTGTGAATACTCTCATGGTGAATAAGTGTAGACTGGTGTCTAAAGGCTTTCCCACAATCACTGCACTTATAAGGCCTTGCTCCACTGTGAACTCTCTGGTGTGCAATTAGATTGGAGTGATTGTTAAAATATTTCCCACATTCATTGCACTTATAAGGCCTTTCTCCAGTGTGGATTCTCTTGTGCACAGTAAGGCTGTGTTTATGACTGAAGGCTTTTCCACATTCGCAGCACTCATAAGGCCTTTCTCTAGTATGGATTGTCTGGTGCTGGACAAGTGTAGCTTTGTGGCTGAAGGTTTTTTCCACATTCACTGCACTCATAAGGCCTTTCTCCAGTATGGATTTCTCTGGTGCTGGACAAGTGTACTTTTGCGGCTGAAGGTTTTTCCACATTCACTGCACTCATAAGGCCTTTCTCCAGTATGGATTCTCTGGTGCTGGACAAGTGTAGCTTTGAGGCTGAAGGTTTTTCCACATTCGCTGCACTCATAAGGCCTTTCTCCAGTATGGATTGTCTGGTGCTGGACAAGTGTAGCTTTGTGGCTGAAGGTTTTTCCACATTCACTGCACTCATAAGGTCTTTCTCCAGTATGGATTGTCTGGTGCTGGACAAGTGTAGCTTTCTGGCAGAAGGCTTTTCCACATTCATTGCATTCATAAGGCTTCTCTCCACTATGGATTCTCTGGTGTTGGACCAGTGTGTCTTTGTGGCGGAAAGCCTTCCCACATTCACTGCACTTGTAATGCATTTGTTCACCATGAAATGCATCCTTATTCTCAGTGCTCCTATGTGTCTTCCTCTTGCTGTGGTAGATGGCCTTTTGTTGGCAAGCACCCAAAGTAGCCTGGAAGTTTTTCTGCTCCTCCTTACAGGCAAAGGGCTTTTCTGATGGGTGAGGTTCTTTGCTAACTTTGCAGTTCTTCACAAACGAGGCCTCACCTTCATCCCTTCTTAAGGGTTTCTCTATACTGTAATGCTTCTGGTTCTGGAGAAGGTTTGCACTGAACCCAAATTGTCTCCCACAAGCCTCACATGTGTGAAGTCCATGGTGTGTACCCTGGTGTTCATCCAGGTGCAAAATATCTTTCAAGATAGGGTAACATATGTCACAAAAGTGAGCCGTCTGAGTGGGTGAACCTGCCTTAGAAGTACTAATATGTGACATATTAGTATGGCTCTGTTCAGAAGATGCCTCTTCATCCTTCACTCCATGCCAACAACCTGAAGCAGAAAAGTACTATTGATGTACATGGTGACTATGGTGAGTGGGGCAACTCCATCACAAATGAGTGTCTGGTGTACCCAGGACTGAGCACCTAAGTTTCCTGGTGGGACAGAGCTAGGATCGGGGTGAAGAAAGGGCTGCTATATAGTACTGGAATCTAAGGTCACCCGGAATGGAGATGGCCTCCCAAGAAACAAAGACACAAGGATGGGGTGTAGTGCAGGGAGAAGTGCAAGGTCTCCAACTTAATCCTCTGCAATGACTTTTGGCTGGACCTTGGCTGACTGTGGGTGACAGGAGACTGCTATGCAGAAATGTGTGTCCAGGCCCATGAACATGTGATTACAAGTGAGTGATGTGTTCAGGGACTGTTTCAGGATATGTACGCATCTTACGACACATTAGTGTTTAAGTGTAGTCCAATACTGGACAGCACTGAAGAGAGTCCCTGTTGCTCTACTAGAGCCCCTCTGGTACAGAGTGGGAGAGAACAGCCCTGGGTGAGAAGTCAGATTAGAAATGACAAGAGTGTACACAACGGGGAAAAAAAGGTAGAAATAAGTTAGGACCTCTGGCCTTGGCACCAGTGATGGGCACAACATAGGTTTCTGGAACTATAGGAACCCAGCCCTGAGGTCATGCCCTCTCTCAGCCTCAGCTCCCACTTACCAGGGCCTGCCCAAGCCCCTCCTGCTGTGACTAGAGTCATGCCCTCTTCAGTTAGGCACCTGGAGTTCTCTCTCTTGCTACAGTTCAGCAACCACAGAGGATCTGGAAGATACAAAGCATAGACAGGCGAAAGATGAAACAGGCTGAGTGAGAAAGCACTAGCTCAGAGTAGCCCACCCATGCAAAATCACAAGAAAACAAACTACAAAATGAACCCCAGAAAACTGTCCTGCAGCAGGAACAGTCTAGTGGGCCCATAAGTGGTGACCATGATGACTGAAACTGATGGACACAGGCCGACTCAAGGAAAATGCAATCAGAGGAAGGGGGTGGAGTCTGGAGGTGTCATGAGTGTGGACAGTCACTTGGCCAGGGAGAGGCCAAGCAGGATTCAGTGGTTTACCTTAGGACCCCTGACCCCTAAACCATTCCTGGCAAGGCTTCAGGGCAGCAGGAGCTGAGGAACACAGGGAACAGAGGAGACAATGCATCTTGCTGAGCCTTGACACCAGGGGACCTATGTGAGGGAATCAGGAAAGGACAGCAGTGCCCATGCTCTAGCCATGGAAAGTCAAGAGCAATCCCTAGGGCAGAAAGGAAGAGCAGAGCCCAGCCCACAAAAATGGGACACTGAGGCCCTACCTAGGGAGAGTATAAATGCAAAGCACGGAAACCATTATTTCATCACAGAAGAGTCTCTGAGCCTCATCGAGCAGCTCCCATTCCTCCTAAGAGAAGCACACAAATAAGTCTTCAGAGATCACATAGTCCCGTGTGAAGTGGTGGACAACTCAGCCTAAGGTCAGCCTCTCTCTCCAGGATTCCTTGTCGCATCTAACTGTAATGAGATAAACCGGCCCTAGTTTGACTGATGCCTCTTCTCTCCTCGTATTCCATTATTCATTTTGTCCAGCCCCTAACAGGCAAGTGGACAGATTAAACACCATGGCCTGGCTTCTCCTATCAGCCAGCTCCCCTAGGATCAACCGATGATGCCTCATACAGAACCTGAGCTCAGCATTGTCTCAGAAACCCTCAGTAGCAAAGCTTTGGGCCCATGAATTCACACTCCATCTACAGGTGCACATCACCCTTCTAGCCATACCTCCTTTACATCTATGGACACCCACTACGTAGGTACCACCCTGGCTTCCCAACATTCAAATCTACATACAGCATCCAGAAAATGCTTCGATGAGGCATGCCGGACCATATCTGTTCCTGGTCAATGGCCCCACTGCCATGGTTTCACTGAATCCAGCTATTAAACTCTCCCCTCCTGGCTCTATTTCATGGGTCAATTCAGCAGTGGAAAACCACATGCAGAATCTCAGATAAACTCAGCATTGTTCTCCTTTGCTGCTGTACTACTGAGTTCAGCCACAGGCTTCATCTCAACATTTAACTCATTCAAATCGCACACCCGCTGGGCACCTACCCCAAGCACAGTGATTCTGCCTACAGACCCAATCTGTCCGTGGGCTAATTCACTAGCTTGAATTCCACAGGGGCCACCACGGAAGCCTGAAGACACATAAAGAGCTGAATAAACACTGGCTCTGGCCTCACTGCCACTTCACTTCTATTACTACAGTACTTCACCTCACATCCACTCTCTCCCAGAAACACTTTGCCACCTGCCTGACCTCATTATTCCCCTTCCTCCCAAGGACACTTCCCTCCCTCTTCTAGCCTCTAAGATGGCCCCTACCCCCACCCTGCTGTGCCTGCCCTTACATTGTGCTCTCTGATGGCACTGCCACCATGATCTAAAGATTCTCCCTCTAAACTGGAAGCAAAACTCCATCCTGATCCACATGCCAGCTGCCACCCTGTGGATAGCTCCAACCTGAATCCCTTCTCTGAACTTCAGATCTCTGTGCCCAGCTGTCTACTTGACACCTCTACTCAAGTGTCTTTGGAACATGGCAGATTCCACATAGCCAAACTACAGTCGTGATATAACCTCTGAAAGGTACTCCTATCACCAACTTTGTCCCCTCAGTTGATGGCATCCTTGTATCTTCTCAGAATTAAAAACAAAGCAGGGTCATCCTTCACCCCTTCCTTTCCTATCTCATCCTCCAAATCTGGTTGATCTCTCCTTTTTTTTTTTTTTTTTTTTAAATAGATTATGAGGTTTCATTATGTTGGCCAGGCTGGTCTCAAACTCCTGACCTCAGGTGATCCACCCACCTCGGCCTCCCAAAGTGCTAGGATTACAGGCGTGAGCCACCACACCCAGCCTGGTTGGTCCTTCTTTAAGGAGAATGATTCAGAATCCATCCACATCTCCACTTCTACAGCCACCACTCTGGTCCAACCTAAACTGTTACATGAAGCTCCTCAGTGGTATTCCTTCCCTCATCCTCACTCCCACAGTCTTTTTCTTCACTCGACAGTGAAGACAAAGTAGTAAGACCGAAGTCAGATCATTCCCTCCTAGCTCCAAACCTGCAGTGGCTCCTACCTCTCTCAGCAGAGAAACCCAGATCCTCAGGCTGGCCTACGGTTCCTGGGCTGAATCCTGTTCCTGCTGTCTGATCACACCAGACATAAATGGAGACCTGAGGTTCCCCAAACACTCCCTAGTTTAGACCTCAAGTGAAGTATTTGCACATGCTGGTTCCTGTGCCTGAGATGATGCTCCATACTCCATCCCACTGCTTGCCAGGAAATGGAAACCCTTCCACATAATTCCAAAACAGAATTTACAACACAGAGCTTTGGGTGACTGCAGGACCTCCCAAACGGTAGGTAGAAGGGACACTGAAGAGTCTCAGAACACTCTTAATTCTCTTATACTGAGTTGCTGAGATAATGGGGTGTGTTGGGTAAGTGAGGGTCTGAGACAATCTGGACTCACCTAGGTAGGAATCACAAGCTTCTGCCACCATGGCAACCTCACAAGAAGAGGGAAGCTGGGAGTGGCAGGTTCCCACAGTGGATCTCATGGACTGAACTGTTTCCCTAACCCCTGCCAACCCTGCCCTTTGGCAGGGATGATTTCGGGTTACCTCTCTAACTTCAGATACTCAGACCTCAGTGCCGGCTCCTACTAGCTGTGTGGACGTAAACAGAGTGGTGTTTCGGTGTCCTCATGTTACAAGTGGGAAGAATAATGGCACCCACCTCATAGGGCTGTTGTTTCTTTTTTCTTTTTTTTTTCCTTTTTAATTTTTTGAGACAGAGTTACGCCTCTTGTTACCCAGGCTGGAGTTGCAATGGCCGCGGATCTCGGCTCACCGCAACCTCCGCCTCCTGGGTTCAAGCAATTCTCCTGCCTCAGCCTCCTGAGTAGCTGGGATTACAGGCAAGCGCCACCATGCCCAGCTAATTTTTTGTATTTTTAGTAGAAGACGGGTTTCACCATTGTTGACCAGGATGGTCTCGATCTCTCGACCTCGTGATCCACCCGCCTCGGCCTCCCAAAGTGTGGGGATTACAGGCTTGAGCCACCGCGCCCCGGCCAGGGCTGTTGTTTCTATCAGGCTTGTCTGTACATGTCAAGTGCCTCTGAAACAGCTACTACTTATCCATGCAAATAAACTGATACGTTTTTGAAAAATTAGGTTTGTTTTGCTTGCTTTAAATACTTTTCAGAAAATTTGGGAAGATTTGCCATTGCAATAAAATACTTTAGGCAAATTAATACTTTGAGCAATCATTAAGTGCTGGTGTAAGTTTAACTTATAATATATACAGAATTTTCTAGTTCCCTACTTCTGTGTACTTGCAAGGTGTACGCTAGCCTTTGCACTGAACCAGCCTACTTGATACATATTCCTCTGAAAGGGAGCTGCATGATCCTTCATTAAGAGATGTTCATCCTTTCTGCTTACCCGCACTGGCTGGGGATGGGACTGCTCCACAGGCAGTGCCCGTGACAGCGTGGTGAGACTTTCGGGTAGCAAATCTACTGCATTCCACACTCGGTCTCCAGTGCAGGCCCTGCTACTTATACTCTACAGCCCTCTCCGCTTACTGACACCATATAGGAATCCTCCCTGCAAGATTCTTTGAATTGGCTGCACCATGGACTACAGCGTGGTGACCCCTGTGACCCACACAGTACAACTCCAGAAGGCCTCCTGGAGCCAGAAAGTCTGAAGGAAAGGGAAAACCACAGAAGAAGATGCAGGGCTGGTTTCCTGCAGTACCCGATTAACTGATCTTCCATTTTTCCCATTGTTCTTGCCTCAACCATTGTGCCTTAAATGATAACCCAACCTTGTGACACTAGACTTGGACACTACCTCTCCCCCCATCGAACCCGGTGCCCCTCCCCGCGGCTGGCAGCTTGAAAAAGCGCGCTGAATTGTAACTTCCCACTGCCTACCCCAACCTCTGAAAGCAACTCTTATCCCACCGCCCTCCGTGACTCTCTTTTCAGACTCAGCGCACTTGTACCCGAGTGAATAAACAGCCTTGTTGCTCACACAAAGCCTGTTTTGGTGGTCTTGTCATTCATAGCACGCCTACCATCTGGTGTTGAAACCTGGGACAGGGATACTCCTGTGGGAGGACCAACTCCGGCCCTGCTCTTACTCTGTGAAGAAACCCACCTGTGACCTCAGCACCTCAGGACCAGCCCGGACAACCTTCTCACCACCTTCAGATCAGGGAAGCAGTCTCTCCCTCTCTCTTCCTTTAAATCTTTCTCCTTCTAAGTAAAGAAGAGCCGTCTCAGGGACAAGGTCTCTCCCCAAACCCTCCCAGCCCCCCCTGGCTCTTTTTCCTTAACTCCTTCTGCTTCTTTTTTTTTTTTTAATTTTAATTTTATTTTTAAAAAATTATTTATTTAGGCCGGGCGCTGTGGCTCAAGCCCTGTTCAATTCCCAGAACTTTGGGAGCGCCGAGGCGGGTGGATCACGAGGTCAAGAGATCGAAACCATCCTGGTCAACATGGTGAAACTCCCGTCTCTACTAAAGATACAAAAATTAGCTGGGCATGTGGTGCAGCGTGCCTGTAATCCAGCTACTCAGGAGGCTGAGGCAGGAGAATTGCCTGAAACCCAGGAGGCGGAGGTTGCGGTGAGCTGAGATCGCGTTCATTGCACTCCAGCCTGGGTCACAAGAGCGGAACTCCGTCTCAAAAAAAA